CGCCTCGGCGATTCTAGTCAGGAGCATGACTGTGATACAGACAGCAATAACATTCATTCAGGAGCCATGACTTTTGAATAACGCTATCAAGGGACCGAGTAGCTGCAGAGCTATATACAAAGCAGACACTCAAGGTAAGATAAGCCTAGGACTTGCATTGTGGTTAAAGGACTAAATACTATTCTTATGTTAGAGCTCAGCGACGGCAACATGACTGTGGTACAACTGAGGCTTAACCTGGACAATGACAATCACTTGGATGTACTGGTGGGGTCGGTGTACATGCCTTACGACTTCCAAACAGCATCATCACCGAAAAGAGTTGAAGAGCTGGTGCTTTATGCAAAGGAACGGAGGCTCGAACTCCTCTTGGGCTGCGATGCAAACTCCCACCACATATGGTGGGGGAGCTCGAATATAAACTCGAGAGGGGAAAGCCTCTACGAATTCATAATGGGCACCGGTCTAGTCATCCTGAATAGAAAATCAGAACACACCTTGATGGACCTCAGAAGACAGTGGATGATAGATATAACCATATGCAGCGGGAAAGTAGTAGTTGGTTTATTACGGGACTGGAGAGTGTCCGGAGAACCGTCAGGATCGAACCACAGGCAAATAAAATACGCCCTTCAACATGTGAAAAATCTGGAATGGTGGCGCAACGTCAGAACAACAAACTTGGAAGGCTATAGGATGGACCTTAAGGTCATCCTAAAGAACGCCCCACAATCAGATTCCATTCCAAAGAAAATTTAGAATTTGCGGCTCAATATATGAGTGATGCGATAAAAGAGACCTACGAAGCAAACTGTTCCGAAAGGTCAAAACATTCATCGACCAAGGTAGAGCAAAGAGCTCTTGAAACACAAATCGAAATTGAGAAGGCTCTTTAACAAGGCAAGAAGAAACTTAAAAGCGGACTGGGAAGCTTATAGATAAGCACAACGCTGTTGTAGCAAAGCGATAACTATCGCTAAAAGAAAAAGCTGGAGGAAGTTTTGTGAAAGCATTAAGAGCGCTCCTGAAGCATCTAGGCTAAATAAAGTCCTCAGCAAAGACAACTCTTTCCGTTTGGACTGCTTAAAGCTCCCAAACAGAAACTACACCGACACAACAAATGAAACCCTTAAACACCTAATGTCTATTCACTTTCCAGGTTTTCAGAAAGATACCTGCTGTATTCACTAAGGAACTAACTCGAGGAACAACATAAACCCATTCTGGTGAAATTTTTTCTTAGAATTTTTCATATAATTCTTCAGAGTTTCTACATAATTTTTCAGAATTTTTCTATAATTTTATAACTTTCTCACATTTTTTATACGAATTAGAACATTTCTCAGAAAATCTACATCTTTTCTCAAAATTTTTCATATATATTATATGTTAATTATAAAATATCATAAGATTTTTAAGATTTTTTGTAAGTATAATTTTTGATGAAATGTTATAAAATATAAAAAATTAAAAAATGCTTTTTAAAAATTATGGAATGAGAAATTTCAGAATATTTTAAAATTCATTTGTATGAAAAATTCTGAGAGAAGAAGTAAACTTTCCGAATATTTCTGAGTATTTCTGAAAAATGTTCCAATTCGTATAAAAATTATGAGAAAAATGTTCACCAGGGCAGGGAATGGTCACTGGCAGCAAAAGTGGTATCACCTGGCAGAGTCGAATGGGCCATAAAGACCTTCGAACCCTTCAAGTCGCATTCAGTGCTGCTCAGAAAAGGTATGAGAGCCCTGATGGGCCCTTTGACAAAGGTGCTTTGGGCTAGCATAGCTTTGAGACACGTCCCTCAAGCCTGGAGTGGCACCAGAGTGGAATTTATACTCAAGCCAGGGAGAAAAGGCCACATTGTGGCTGTTCGATTTCATGCGAATTCTCATTAGTCACATCGTGTGACGCTAGGAGCGAGCGGTGTTAGAATAGATGATTTGGGCGCATTTCTATATGTCTTACTGGCACGACGCTAGGCGGAGCGGTTATTGCGGAAGAGAAGGACACATATAGACGAAGAAGAAAATGGTGTAAGCACGGCACCACATCGGAAGGAACGAGTGACAAAAATAAAGATCATTCGGACTACATTGTCGACTCTGCTTAACTCACTCACACATATCCTGAATCATCAGTGAACAGTGGCTAAAGACTACAGACCTATCAGTCTCACATCCTTCATTCTGAAGACACGGGAGAGATTGATTGACAGGTATCTGAAAAACAACTCCCTTCTCATTCGGCCGCGGAACTCCTCCTAGTATGCCTACAAGGAGGGCAGATCTAGGAATACAGCTCTGCATCACCTAGTAAGCGGGGTTAAGACTTAGCTGACCGCAAAGGGATATGCATTGGGCGTCTTCATCGAATATCGAGTTGAAGACGATTTTTATCATTGAAGAGGCTTTTGATATCACGTCAATCTCGTCGATAAAGGACGCCATGGTAATAAGACAAAATACCAGGTGCACCTGTGGACTGGACTCAAAGCATGCTGGAGGGCAGAAAACTGACCGTCAATCATGGCAATATCATCATTGAGGGGTGTCCGCCGTCAGGCTGCCCGCAGGGGGAGGGTTCTCTACTCGTGCTATGGTACCTGGTAGTGGATGAGCTCCTCACAAAACTAAGAGTATCCGATTTCCGGGTCTACGATTATGCAGATGATGTAACCATAGTTACCAAGGGCATCTTCCTCACGAAACACATGGACGGAGCCTTGATAATCGTGTAAAATTGGTGCAGGATAAGGGACGGTAAATCCGGAGAAGATCTCGGCCATGATTTTCATCAGAAAATACAAGCCTGAACAAATAGAGCCTTTGAAACTTTGGGGTAAGGAAATAAATTATACTAACTCAGTGAAGTAACTAGAAGTATACCTAGATCCAAAGCTGAGCTGGAAAACACACCTCGAGGGTAAGAGGAAAAAGCTCTACCACTCCATGTGAGCTTATAGAAGAGTCATGGGCAGGAACTGGGAAATAAACCCTAGGGTTGCTCTGTAGCTATACAAAATGATTCTATTATGAAGACTAACTTGGTAATAACTTAACTATGCTGTCTGGTGGCTAAAGGTGGCAAATGTAGAGGCGAAGAACTTGCTCAAAAACTTTCAAGGGGGATACCTTAAGGTTGAGACAGGAGCCATGAAAATCACACCAACCGAGGCGCTTGAAGTGGCATTCGGTTTTCCGCTCTTGTGTCTAGTGATCATCAGCATAGCAAAACAAGCAGCAAACAGGATGAAATGTCAGGGGAAGTAGAAGAAGACCAGGCTTGGCCACACTAAGCTGAATCTGTTCGATAAGTCCATCTTCACACTGAAGCAAGATAGGATCCACAGAAAACATCTACTGGAGAAGACCTTTAAGGTCCTGATACCGGCTAGTGAGAACTGGTAAGATCCCAACTTTCTAACCAATCCAAACGTGGACATATGGTACACGAATGGATCGGGAGCAAATGATCGTTTTGGGGCGGGCATTTACGGCCCCAACGCCCATCACGAAGAAAGCATACCAATAGTGAGGCTGTCCATAATTATTCAAGCTGACGTGCTTGCCATCTCAAGGTACGCAAAACTCCTGATCGACTAGATAAACAGGCATCGCATCAGCATCTGCTCGGATAACAGAGCAGCTATTGATGCACTTTCAAAGACCTTTATAGAGTCATCCGTAATTTGGGACTGTATGCAAGACCTTGAAAAACCAGGGGAAACAAACCAAATTTTTCTAGTATGGGTCCCTGGACATCAGGACATACCTGGCAATGAGAGAGTGAATAGGCTAACAAAGCTGAAGACAGAAATGGACCCAGGTGAACTGCAGACCGTCGGAGTTTCCTTCATGCTAGGTAAAAGAAAGATCAAGGAAATTCTGGAGCGGGAGCATTTAAAGTCCTGAAGAGAAGCGAAGGGCTGCCGGTGGGTCAAGAAATTAACAAGACAATCCAATCCGGCTAGAACGAAAGAGCTGGCAGCAATGGAAAGAGACAAACTAAGAACGGGCCTTCTTACTGGATACGTCCCCTTCAGAGCACACTTATTCAACATCGGACTGGTCGAGCAGAAAAACTGCCGGTTATGTGGAGAGGAAAGCTAGGTCATCATACATCTTCTGTGTCGCTGTACTCTGCTTGTCTGCAAAAGAGGTAGATCCTGGGGCCACATGTTTTTAACACCCGAGGATTTAGATGTAGCAAAGATAGGAGATCACATAAGCCTGGTACAAGGAGCTGGGCTTGACCACCTAACTTTGGAAACAAGCAGGACGTAATAATGGAACTCTAGAGATCTAGGTCACACTAAGCGGCTGCCATAGCCCCACCTGCATTATTTACTGATAGTATTAAGTGCTACTACTACTTAATTAGAGAACCGGGCATTAGGCAAATTTAAATGTGAAAATTCCACGGAATCGGATTCCAGAATCAATTCGAATTGGAAAGGCATACAATAAGTTGACAAGCGTAGATAGTTTTATGTAAAAGTGCATAAAAAAAGCTTTATTTTGCCACCGTTTTCTTGCAAAAAATAAGTATAAAAACGTCTCTCCTTCGCTATAGTCGTCGTAAAAAAACACCATCATCATCATCATCTTCATCATCATCATTATCATCATCATCATTATCATCATCATCATCATCATCATTATCATCATCATCGTTGTCGTCATCATTATAATGGTAGTCGTCGTTGTAATAGATATCATCGTTCTTCTCATCATCGTTTTCATCAACATCATCATCATCGACGACGTCGTCGTCGTCGTCGTTACTGTATGCAACATCGTTATCATCATTGCCGTTTTTAACTTTGTCAGCGTTGTCGACTTTTTCTCTCGGCGATCGCGCATATAACAGCGGATATGTCAATAAGGTAAGTATTATAGCCGTTGATCATGTTAAAGGTATGTGAGCGGTGTCTGAATGTGTGTTGGTGAATGAGAGGGTAGGACGGAAGGGCCGCGACGGGATTAGCAGTGAATTGACTAGTATGGCCCGGATTTACCAGGTACCCCGTAACTCGTGCTGGGTCCGGTGCCAGTGACTTCCTTCTGTAATGTGAAGAAAAAAAAATTAAGTAATTAAATCGGTTAAGGATTTTCACTTTTTCTCATTTCTTATGCTTTTAAGTTTCTTTCCTTTACCTGAGTCTTGTATTTGATAAAGTAGACTTCCGGTTTGCTGGGCTGAGTGGGCGTTATGGTAGGCAGATTGATCTCGGGCGCCTCCTCGGGTTTCTTGACCAAAACGTAGATGAGTGTCTTCTGCTCATCCTGCTGCTGCACCGGGATCACTGGAGCGGTCGGTGTTGGTGAGGTAGGTGCCTTGATGAAGACGATCTTATAATGCTTCTGTGCTGGACGTGACGGATATACCGCGGCGGGACTGACTGCTTCGGGATCTTTAGATGATTCGAAAACATAGACGTCTCTAACAACCTGAACGGCAGGGGCGAATCTAGCTGCCGCTGCCGCATTAACTTTGACACCTTCGATACCGCCGGCACTGCCGGCAACGGTAGCAGCTTCAGCTCTGCCGGAGGAAAAGCCGGTGACACCCTCGATACCGCCGGTACCGCCGACGACACTTGGACCACCGCCGGCGACACTTGGACCAACGCCGGCGGCACTTGGACCACCGCCGAAACCACCGCCTGCGCCGAAAGTCGTGCTGGGCCTCACTGGGATGCCACCGATACCACTAATACCACCAACACCACCGGCGAGCGAATATCCACCGGAAGGAGCGCCGTAGCTACTGCTTGGCTGGCTATAGGAGTATCCGGCTTCTGGCCGCGCCATCGCCGTCGCGGCGAGGGTCAGGATCTACAATTGCAATTCAATTTTACTTTCCTGATGTGTTTAAATATTGAAACCGAGATTTCGATTTTGATATTTAAGCTTCGTTTTATTATTTTTCTTTTATAAATATTTTAATATATTTAAGATAAACGTCCCCCGTAACCGGACAAGCATAAAATTTATTATTAGATATTAACTTTAAATGCTTTATATTACAATATTTAATGGTATTTAAAGATTGCAATTAAATTATAATATTATATTTAAGAAAGCATTTGAAATTAATATGAATAAATATAAAGATTTGTGTAAATATCCGGACATATAGGTGTTACATGTCCGGTCACTGAGACATTTACTTTATTATGATTCTAAAATTAAGCTCAGTACCATTAACGTAGAATTAACTTCAATCTCAGTTTAATTTACTGTTCACATTTTTCTAATTTTTAGAAGTATATAAACAGTAAATTTAACCAAAATTAAAGTTAATTTACATTGGTGGAACAAGGTCATAATATTCTAAATACTTTTCGGTACTTCCCTTTTTTCTTTCATTGCAATTTAGTATAATTATTATGCTAAAACTATGTGCTATTATAAAATTAATATATAATGTAGCTCGTGAATAAGTCAAGTTGAATTCTTTAAAGTGGAACTCAAAGTATTTCTTATATAGACGAAACGTACATATGCGAAAAAAATGCATTATTTATTTTTATACATTAATATATACTGTCCCTACGCGTTTTTAATTGAAAAAAAATTAGGTACATCTTTCTCGAAGATAATATAAACGCTCTTGTCTAATTTTTTTTTTAAGTGAACAATGATCCTCGGTATTCTTCTATTCGTTCTTGCAATAAACATATCTAAACAGCAAGCAGTAAAGGTTTCAAAAGTGTTTCTGGAAGTGCACGGCGGTGGATTTACGAGCACGTGGAACGTATAATCCCTTTCTTTCAGTCACCGGCCGCGCTTTATGGTGTTAGCGTTACATAAACCCGGGAGAGAATCTCGATATTTAAGTTCTTTTCTTCCTGTTTTTCTATTTTCTATTTTCGCGAGAAGAGAAATAGAGAGGAGGACTCCGAATTAAAAAACAGCCATAGGAGAGAAGAAGATGAAGGGACCGAGAAGAGAGTGAAGAAAGAAGGAGAGGAGGAAACGAGAAAATGGGGAAATTATCGTGAACAGGCTACTCACCATGACTGCCCTCATGGTAGATGCTGTTCCTTGATTTGACTGAAGCTTCGCGGATGTTTTGATGCCCCCTTTTATACAGGCTTCCATGGGGGCCCCACTCGATGCCTCGACTAATCGTATGACATTATATGACCTATGTTCTATGAAACGCGATAGAGCTATGACAAATCGCTCTTCCTCTATCTCTCTTTCTCTTCCTTTCTCCTAATTTTTACCTCTTCTTGCGATACAGAGCCATATGCGTTTACTCAAATTTGTCTCTGTACTTTCATTAAAATTCATCTATTCGGATAGGTTGCGTCCACTCATGACACACACGTGTCACGCAGCATCGATTCAATGACGAATGAACGTGAGAAATGGACCATACGACATGTTATGCCACAAAGATGACAAGAATTTATATAAATGCTTCGATATTATGCGCGATATCACAACAAGATAGTTATTTTGTTGATAAAAAGGACAGCCTTCCAAAGAAATAATTTTTATTATTGTTACTGATTTACTCAAAACGTTCTTAATAATTTTGATGGTTGCACAATATTATTGTATAAATTTAAATAAAAAGTATTTTGCACATTATACGTTGTTTTATTCCTAATGAAGAACGATGTATACGTTGTTATGAATAAAATATCCCAAAATGAAACTTCATTATTACTATAGTTAAAAATATATTGCGATATCACAACAAGATGGTTATTTTATTGATAAAAAGGACAGTTCTCAAAGAAATGATTTTTATTATTGTTACTCATTTACTCAAAATGTTCTTAATAATTTTGATGGTTCCACATTCCACAATATTACTGTATAAATTTAGATAAAAAGTATTTTACACATTATATGTTGCTTTATTCCTAATAAAGAACGATGTATACGTTGTTATGAATAAAATATCACAAAATGAAACTTCATTATTACTCTATATTTAAAAAATATATATTTATTGATTTTATTGATTCAAATGTCACATTTATAAAATTGTTAATGACAAACTTTGTAACGATAACGCGTAGTCCTTACATTACAAGAATTTTACAAAAAGAAAATACAATGTACGTTTCTTGAATACTTAAAGAAAGATTATAAATGCAGATATTATAGCACTCGCAAATTATGTTACGGTTTGCCATACAAGTTTTAGCCTATTTCCTACAGCCGGCTGCAACTTCCTATATAAGTCGATGTCCGCACACGAAAATACAACTTTCTTTAATCCAAAATTTTCTCACGGCTAAATAAATTGTCGATTAATTTTTGTGAGTAATTTGGAAATGTTATTATTTTTTGATATTATTTAGATATATTATTCAGAGATATTGTTCAAAGTACTATAGTTTTTTCGTATCTCATGAATGGAAAGAACAATTTTGTGAAGTATCTAAAAATTTGGCTAGATACAGATCTGAAATTTTACGAACTATCAAAGTAATTGTGTGGAGTATAGTTGATAGAATGTAAAAGCTTTACAGCAGACATAAATCCTGGGGCCACATGTTTTTAACACCCGAGGATCTAGATGACGCAAAGATAGGCGATCACATAAGCCTTATACGGAGCTGGACTTAACCGCCTAACTTTGGAAACAAGCAAGAAGTAATAATGGAACTCTAGAGATCTAGGTCACATTAAGCGGCTGCCATAGCCCTACCTGCATTATTTACTAATAGCATTAAGTGCTACTACTACTTAATTAGAGAACCAGGCATTAGGCAAATTTATATGTGAAAATTTTACGGAATCGGATTCCAGAATCAATTCGAATCGGAAAGGCATACAATAAGTTGACAATAGTAGATTGTTTTATGTAAAAATGTATAAAAAAGCTTTATTTTGCCACCGTTTTCTTGCAAAAAATAAGTATAAAAAACGTCTCTCCTTTGCTCTAGTCGTCGTAAAAAAACACTATCATCATCATCGTCATCATCATCATCATTATTATCATCATCATCATCATCATCATCATCATCATCATCATCATCATCATCATCATCATCATCATCATCGTCGTCGTCATTATAACGGTAGTCGTCGTTGTGATAGATATCATCGTTCTTCTCAATTATAACGGTATCATATAATATCATTATAATATCATTATAACGTTAGTCGTCGTTGTGATAGATATCATCGCTTTCATCATCATCATCGTCGTCGTCGTCGTCGTCGTCGTATAATTCAACATCGTTATCATCATCGCCGTCTTCAATTTTATCATCGTTGTCAACTTCTTCTCTCGGCGATCGCGCATATAACAGCAATACGTCAATACGGTAAATATTATTGTCGTTCATCTTGTTAAAGGTATGTGAGCGATGTATACGTGTGTGTTGGTGAACTGGAGGGTAGGACGTAATGGCCGCGACGAGGGTAGCGGTGAATTGACTAGTATGGCCCAGATTTACCGGGTACCCCGTAACTCGTGCTGGGTCCGGTGCTACCAGTGACTTCCTTCTGCAACGTGAAGAAAAAGAAAGTAATTTGGTCGGTTAAGGATTTTTACTTTTTCTCATTTCTTATGCTTAAGTTCCTTTCCTTTACCTGAGTCTTGTATTTGATAAAGTACACTTCTGGTTTGCTGGGCTGAGTGGGCGTTATTGTAGGCAGATTGATCTCGGGTGCCTCCTCGGGTTTCTTGACCAAAACATAGATGAGTGTCTTCTGCTCATCCTGCTGCTGCACCGGGATCACTGGAGCGGTCGGTGTTGGTGGGGTAGGTGCCTTGATGAAGACGATCTTATAATGCTTCTGTGATGGACGTGACGGATATCCCGCGGCGGGACTGACTGCTTCGGGAGCCTCAAGATCTTTAGATGGTCCGTAAACATAGACGTCTCTAACAACCTGAACGGCAGAGGCGAATCTAGCTGCTGCTGCCGCATTAGCTTTGCTGACACCCTCTCTACCGCCGGCACCGCCGGCAACGGCAGCAGATCCAGCTCCGCCGAAACCACCGCTACCACCTCCGAAAGTCGTGCTGGGTCCACTTGGTCCGGTGCCACCGATACCACTAATACCACCAACACCACCGGCGAGCGAATATCCACCGGAAGGAGCGCCGTAGCTACTGCTTGGCCGGCCGCCGAACAAAACTCCCGAGGGAATGCCGGAGATACCTTCGGCACCTCCGACGCCACCACCGAGACCTGCACCACCGTTGAAACCACCGCCGCCGAAACCATCGATACCACCAACATCACCGGTGACCGAATATGGACCGGAAGGAGCGCTGAAGCTACTGCTTGGCTGGCTATAGGAGTATCCGGCTTCTGGCCGCGCCATCGCTGTCGCGGCAAGGGCCAGGATCTACAATTGCAATTTAATTTTATTTTCCTAACGTGTTTAAATGTTGAAACCGAGATTTCAACTTTGATATTTGGCTTCGTTTTATTATTTTTCTTTTATAAATATTTTAATATATTTAAGATAAACGTCCCCCGTAACCGGATATGCACAAAATTTATTATTAGATATTAATTTTAAATGCTCTTTGTATTACAATATTATAATATTATATTTAAGAAAGCATTTGAAATTAATAATAATATGAACAAATATGAAGTTTTGTGTAAATTTCCGGACATATAGGTATTACATGTCCGGTCACTGAGACGTTTACCTTATTATGATTCTAAAATTAAGCGCAGTTCCACTAACGTAAAATTAACTCTAATCTCAGTTTAATTTACTGTCCACTTTTTTCTAATTTTTAGAAGTAGATAAACAGAAAATTTAGCCAAAGTTAAAGTTAGTTTACATTGGTGGAACAAGGTCATATTGTTCTAAATAATTTTGGTACTTCACCTTTTTTCTTTCATTGCAAGTTAGTATAATTATTATACTAAAACTATATGCTATTATAAAATTAATATATAATGTAGCTCGTGAATAAGTCAAGTTGAATTCTTTAAAGTAGATCTCAAAGTATTTCTTATATAGAAGAAACGTACATGTGCGAAAAAAATGCATTATTTATTTTTATACATTAATATATACTGTTCACACGCGTTTTTAATTGAAAAAGAATTAGGTACATATCTTTCTCGAACATAATATAAACGCTTTTGTCTAATTTTTTTTTTAAGTGAACAATGATCCTCGGTATTCTTCTATTCGTTCTTGCAATAAACACATCTAAAGAGCAAGCAGTAAACGTTACAGAAGTGTTTCCGCAAGTGCACGGCGGTGGATTTACGAGCACGTGGAACGTATAATCCCTTTCTTTCAGTCACCGGCCGCGCTTAACGTTTCATGGTGTTAGCGTTACATAAGCCCGGGAGAGAATCTCGACATATAAGCTCTTTTCTTCCTGTTTTTCTTTTTTCTATTTTCGCGAGAAAAGAAACAGAGATGAGGCCCCGAATAAAAAGACAGCGATAGGAGAGAAGAACATGAAGGAACCGAGAAGAGAGTGAGGAAAAAAAGAGAGGAGGAAACGAGAAATTGGGGAAATCATCGTGAACAGGCTACTCACCATGAATGCCCTCATGGTAGATGCTGTTCCTTGATTTGAGGACTGAAGCTCCGCGGATGTCTTTGAAGCTTCCTTTTATACAGGCCATCATGAGGGCCCCACTCGATGCCTCGACTAATCATCTATGACCTATGTCCTATCAGATGCGATGGAGTTATGACAAATGATCCTCTTCCTCTTTCTCTCTTTCTCTTTCTTTCTCCAAATTTTTACTTCTTCTTGCAATACAGAGGCGTATGCGGTTGCTCAAATTTATTTCTCTCTGTACTTTCATTAAAGTTCATATATTCAGATAGGTTGCGTCGAATCATGACACATACGTATCACGTAGCGTCGATTCAATGACGAATGAACGTGAGAAATGAACCATACGATATGTTATGCCACAAAGATGACAAGAATATATCTAATTGCTTCGATATTATACGCGATATCACAACAAGATGGTTATTTTATTGATAAAAAGGACAGTTCTCAAAGAAATGATTTTTATTATTGTTACTCATTTACTCAAAATGTTCTTAATAATTTTGATGGTTCCACATTCCACAATATTACTGTATAAATTTAGATAAAAAGTATTTTACACATTATATGTTGCTTTATTCCTAATAAAGAACGATGTATACGTTGTTATGAATAAAATATCACAAAATGAAACTTCATTATTACTCTATATTTAAAAAATATATATTTATTGATTTTATTGATTCAAATGTAACATTTATAAAATTGTTAATGACAAACTTTGTAACGATAACGCGTAGTCCTTACATTACAAGAATTTTACAAAAAGAAAACACAATGTACGTTTCTTGAATACTTAAGATTATAAATGCAGGTATTATACCACCCGCAAATTATGCTGCGGTTTGCCATACATGTTTTAGCCCATTTCCTACAGCCGGTTGTAACTTCCTATATAAGTCCGCCCACGAAAATACAGCTTTCTTTAATCCAAAATTTTCTTACGGCTAAATAAATTGTCGATTAATTTTTCTAAGTCTAATTTGGAAATGTTATTATTTAGATATTATTTGATATTATTTAGATATATTATTCAGAGATATTGATCAAAGTTCTGTAGTTTTTTTATATCTCATGGATTGAAATAACAGTTTTGTTGAAGTATCTAAAAATTTGGCTAGATACAGATCTGAAAATAATTTTTTGGACCATTTATATATCAAAATAATTGTGTGGAGTATAGTTGATAGAATGTAAAAGCTTCAATTTTACAGCATTGCTCATCATGCTTAAATTTCCTACATTATTATTTTTTTCAACAAAATTATTTTCAGATCTGTATCTATCTACATTTGTATATATTTCAGCAAAATTATTCTTCCCATACGAACGTATAATACGTAGAAGAAAGCCCCCTATTATGAAATAGAGCGCCTAATATGAGATAGCTGCGTTTCCGCTAAACTAATAAACGCTATATCTATTGGTTCCACCATGAATTTATTGTTCTTGTATTAAAAACTATTTAATGGATAATTCATTATTAGATTGTGCCTGTAGTCGTTACAAAAAAAGATTTTAGAATTTAGATGTCTTCAAGTTTCGTCGAAATGAGCCTTTAAACCTTGTTTCTTATTTAATAAGTAAATATTTTGCAACAAATTCTTTATGTGGTGATAGAGTAAGATCATACTAACAGAAAAATATGGGATATGTTGAATTGTTTAATTACAAAAGTTAGATTTGATGATCGTAAAATCGTAAGGCGTGGAAATCATAATATGAGATACTCAGGGTATTTCTAATATAAAATAACTTATGCTTCTATGTCATAGTGAAAATCGTTGTTGAAGTATAAATGTTATTATACAATAATAAAAGGAACAATCGCGGAATATACGAGTGCCTGTTTCTGCGATGCTTTGTTCTAACTACCTGAAGACGAGTCCTAGGTTCAATGCATCGCATACTCATTTTGTGCGCGCACTGGCTATGTTTGTTTGTATTTTAGAAACATTAAATAAAGTTTTTTAATTGCAATACTGATACTTTGCATTTTATTACCAATTTCTCAGGGCATCTCATATTAAAAGCACAATTTTTTGACTTTGCCATTTGCTTACTTTTTACATTTATTTAATTAAAAAAAAATAAAATTTGAATTAAATTTTACATAACATTATCTTAAAGCTTATTAAATTCCCTTCAAAATAATCTATTATTATTTTAAATTCTGCTCATAGATTTCTAGCATTTACCCAAAATAAACTCTGTATCTAATAGGGGCCTTTCCTCTATACATTCGGATAAACAGATGATAAGTACAATAAGTACGATGGATGATAAATAAGCATGGATCTTATGTAGGGTAGTTAAATCACACTTAAATGCAGCCACGCGTTTCGGAAAACGTGAGTGAAAGCTGAGGGCAGGTTGAATCGCGAGAACCTCTACTTTGTACGAATGAATTTGTAGGACGATGATTATAACTGATATTGCCCGCCAGCCTATTCAAATCCGTGAGAAAAATTAAAATTGAGTTTTATGGCTCTGCGTAGACTCATTATCGTCCGTGTGCGTTCGCATGCATTTAAAAAGCGTGATTTTCGGCTCACCTTGTATAGAAAGTGTAACTGGCATATCACGAACATCTAACAGCTGCTTGTTGGATCCATAAAAACATTTGGTTGAACAAATTTTGTTCAATTATGTTATATTGATGTGTTCGATTACGTTATATTAATGTGCCATTTGAGAGAATTATGCAATTCTAATTTATATATACGGTAATATATGAAAATCTCAAAACTTAATACTACTCTTATAATTCTATTCCGTAAAAAATTTGTTTTAAATACTGCTATTGACGAAAATATTAATCTTTCCTCGTATAATAAATAAACTGATTCTGCTTTTTTTTATTTTATTTATTATAATCGGTTTTTATATTGAATATTATTGAATTGACAACAATCCGTTAAGAGAATGTTCTTTTTGTCAAAATTTTGTCTATACAATTTCAGTTAAAAGTAGCAATCAAACAATTAATCAAAATAAGCTAATATCAATTAATATTATTTTTTTTAATTTTGATGATATTAGCCCTAAAACCAACTGCAAAAATAAAACAAATAATTTGACTTATAGTTTTACGTAGCAAAATGATTATGTCTTTCTGCAGTTTTAAGTCAACAACTTTTAATTTACATAAGAATCAAGACTAACAAAAATTTTAAATAGCTTTTAAAACAGTAAGAGAATTGTGCCTTATACTTAATATTCAGACGCAATAATGAAACAACATATAAAATTTTTATATCTTTAATATTATTTTGAGATGTGACCCATATATCCAAATTTTCTCTCTGTATTATATATGTAGAAATCTGCGTAAACGTTTATCTCATTTTTTTCTAGTGAGATGCGGACGTTTTGCGATTGACTAAGTACTTAATTCGCGGTAACCGAATGCTTTCCGCCACTGGTGGTTGAAACAATGGAATTGGCTGCTTCCGTGATCTGGCGAGGTCGGGAAACGGGCAGGAAGAGAAAATAACTTAAAAATTTCGATTGCAACTTCCTCAGAAATACCTCACATTTATGCATACTACATAAGAGACGAGAAAGAGAAAAGAAAAAAAAGAGCGAAACACAAAGAGGGAGGGAGGGAGGGGGAGAGAGAGAGAGAGAGAGAGAGAGAGAGAGAGAGAGAGAGAGAGAGATCCATAAACCGAAACTCGGTTTTTTTTAATCATATGTTTGACACAAAATTATAGAAAATTATGAAAGGTATAATTCTGCAAGCACATGTCGACTTCTACTACAATGATACAAGATGCTTTTGCCACGATACAGAAAAGTAGATCACGAGCGGAACGAGTTCCCCAATTCGGACGTGTGACCATCGGTCGTCGAAAAGTTAGCCTTGAGTGACGGTATCCTCTCACGTTTGAGGTCCATCTCTCCTTTCCCCTTTGATTAACGTGTATAAATCTAGACAAAGAGAAGCTACGTTTCGATGAAGCTACGATTAAAAAATGACATAATAATGAAACTGATATAGGCAGATTCTACGCTTCCATGTAGATTCTGCTCTTCTTCTTGCGGCCTCGACACGTGTATATGTAAATGCTGTCATTCGGCTCCTATAATTTGAATGACCGTATAAATGAAAATAGAATAATCAAGAAAGACTTTGTTTGTTGTGAAATTTCACAATTTTATCTTGTTTGTAAATTTGTAATTAATAATCGTTAAAGGTTACTACTGATTTACGATTAATATAGTCGTTAAAATTAATTCTGTCTACAGTTTGCAGAATAATTAAATTAACTGAAAAAGAGAGAGGCAGAAGAAAAACGTCGATTTAAAATAATGGCCAGGTGAAAGAGATTTCGGTCGCAAAAGTCACACTCGTGAATTTCTCTCCAAGAATATTTCCTTCTTACATATAATCGGAATGATAGATTGTAGTAAAAGTAGACATTTCTTTTATCTGATAGATCTTCAACGGAGAATCTAGAGCTCATGACAGGTGACGAGTCACAAAATTATCGTCGGCCTTCATTGCGAAACTGAAAGTCTTCCTTGGCCGCAGAGAAAGAGAAAGATAGGAGGAAAGGGACCTCGAAACCCATTTGACCCGAATATTCAATTCGACGCGGGTTCTCGTTTTCTTTTTCGTTTCCCAGTCGAGGAGGAATTAAACTTTCCCGATCAAGGAAGCAGTGGCGGGAATCTTCCTTCCTTTTGTGTGTGTCTCGTTCTCCTCCTTCCCGCTGTCTGAACGAATTCAACGGATCTAGATATTTATCTATCATTCGGAATTCACTGATCAGCAGCAGCCATCGAGGCTGAGGATGAGCACACGAGAGAGAGTCGGCAATACGACTTGCCGTAGCTCCCTTGAAGTGAAGAATCGTAGTCGACGCAAATTGTTTATAGAATTTGTCATTGTTTAACACATCCTTTTTTTTCACTACACCGTTGGAAAATTTGTGTTAAATTTAACACATTTCACATGTCCCATCTTCCTAGATATACTATTAGAAATGTAAAACCATTTCT